CGAAAAATTCAAGGTCACACTTTAAGGTCACTCGGAAACTCAAGGTCACGTTTCAAGGTTACATTTCAAGGTTGGCACCGAAGGTCAGCTCTCAAGGTCGTTTGGCACCGAAGGTCGGCGCTCAAGGGGGTCCCAGAACATACAAACCCTATCTACTAGCCTAAATATTTATACTGTTCATCTTGCTGCATTCCTTCAATTTTCCCTTGCACTTGGTTCGGTACATATCCTGAATGTTTACTCCATTGGTCTTTTACCATGCAACTGATCCTGCACTTGTCTAAGCCAAACAGCATCTTGATGTCAGTGCTGAATTTACTTACACAGTCCAGAAGCTTATGAAGATGTTCTTTGGTTTCTGCAAAAAGTTTGAGGTCATCCATGTACCAAAGATGTGAAATGCGTGTTTCATTGCCACCTAACAGTATTCCTTTCTTTTGGCTATTTAGCACTATTGTTAACGGTCTAAGCGCTAAGCAGAACCATAGCGGACTTAAAGAGTCTCCTTGAAATATTCCTCTCTTGAAGGATACCTCTCCGGCACTAAATTGCGTATCTTGGATGTTGAGATAGATCCGTGTCTTCCAATTCGCCATAGCAAGTGCCAGAAATTGTTTGATGTGGCACTCTATCCTGTTTTGATTTTATATTTATTTACTCATATTGTTTGTTATCTTTGTACATTGAGTGAATAAATATTATTATTATTATTATTATTATTATCCCATAAAGGTCAAGCACCTCTAACAGTCAAGAGTGAGGTATACTGTTAAACGCTTTCTGATAATCGATGTATGCAATGTACCTTATATTTTTTTCTTTTTGGCATAATTAGTTATGACAGAGTCTATAACAAGTTCCTCTTTACAGCCTCAAGACCCTTTTCGGCAACCTTTTTGCTCTTCGTTTAGTATAGTATTCCGCTCTAGGTGTGAATATATCTTTTCAGTAATTATAGCAGTCAATACCTTGTAAATAGTCGGCAGACAGATGATTGGTCGGTATTTTGCCGTATCGTTCGAGTGACCGCCGCACTTTGGGATTAAATATGTTATTCCCATTGTTAAGAACTCTGGCAACATATCTGGTTGCTCTAAGATTGAGGTGTAACACTTTGCGAGTCGATCGTGAGCGTGAGTGAACGTTTTTAGCCAATAATTCTGAAGCTTATCTGATCCTGGGGCTTTCCAGTTTGGTAATTTTCGTAAAGTATTTATCACGTCATCTAAGCTAACTTTCCAGTCGAGCATGGTCCTAAAAGTTGAATTATTTGCTTTCTCTTGGCGGTACCATTTAGATGTGGAATGATTGATTGGATTGCTCCAAATTCCTGACCAGAAGGTGTTGATGGCATCTGAGGTAGGAATCTGAACGTTGTTCTATTCTGTAACCCTCCGTCGCGCCTGCAAGTTCCTGTAAAAGCCTCGCTGATTGGTCTCGAATGCTCGATTTTGTTTCCGGCGTTCATTGCTTTTCTTGTACCTTCGAAGTCGCAGTGCTGTAGCTGCTAGTTTTTGCTTCAGGTAGTCCAAGACTTCTACAGCTGTTGGGTTCTCCTCCGAGCAGTGAAGGTTTATCACATTCTCTGCGGATCTCTTTACTCTTAGACTACATTCAGACCTGCGGTACTGGGTGAGTATTGCTATGTCCTTTCTAATCTCCTCTATATTACGCGATATCCTCATCTCCCAGGCTGGCAGTTTTCTGTTTTTTCTTACAGATTGTTCGCCAACTCTATGTTCATTTAATTTTAGGGCTGTAAGTGCTCCAGTGTACAACAGGCTATGGAGCTCAGTCAAGGTTGTATCTTCTGTAATCTCGTTATCTATTACTTTGTTAACTTCAGCGATATACTCAGATGTATGGGGTTTTATTATTAGCTTTGGTAGGCTTGGTTTAAGAGATGGCTCCACACCATCATACCTCATGAACAAGCCCCTGAACTCATCTGCGTATTTAGAGGGTTGGCCATCGTTTGCCTGAATTTGTTCTTGGTTTTCTGTGTGCTCTTGCGGAGCTTGTTCCTGCATTCCTAATTCTATGGAGATCTCTTCTCTTATTTTGTTTATCTCCTCTGCCGGCTATCTGTTGTTTATGAATACGGATCGCCGCTGGTCTAGTACGTTTTGCACAGTTTTGCCTTGCAGGTGAGGGAAGTTCATGATAACTTGTTTGTGTAGTTCAGTACCATAGGGCTCTGTGGATGTTTCTTTTAGTGATTCTGTAGTAGGAGCGAACCACGAATCTGTTCATTTCGGTAGTCCACGTGGTTCTTTTTCTCCTCCTATTGTCTGGCATTATGGGCTGGGGCTTGGCTTCCAGCAACATGATTGCCATCTTCGACCCCAGGAAGCTGTTGGATGGGGTCATTCGAGTTACTTCTCACACTATCTGTGGGGGGCTTTTGCTGGATGACGACCGGGTGCGACCCTCCTCTACGCTCCATGCCGGACGCGGACCTCGTCGCATAGCATCGAGTCCCGATTACGTCGTTACATTCCGAGGCTTCATTTTGTTTTTTCTCTCATTTCTGGGTAATTGTGTTCTCTTTTGATAGGTAGGTGTAATTGTTTACCTAAAAGTATTAAAGCTCAGGCGTGGAAGAGAGACAAAAACCACGCCTGGATGAACAGGAGGTGTGCTGGCCGTACTAACCTTCCTTCGGTGTTAATAACAGTAGCTCAACCACTTGGTCGAGGCCAGACGTTGCGTTGCTGGCTGTACCGTCTACGTCGTTACGGTAGCGGGTTTGAAACTGCTGGCGGCAGTCCCCTTACCGGCCAGACCCCTTTATTATTATTATTCTTATTATTATTATTATTATTATATATTATTATTATTATAATAATAATAATAATAATTAATATTATTATTATTATTATTATTATTATTATAGTAATACTTATTATTATTGTTATATACTATTTTACTCCTCTGTCGAAGGTATTAATATTTCCCTCAGGCGGTTAGCCAAAGTAAGGAAATAGATCTGCAGCGGTCTTTTCACCGTATCCGGTTCTCATCTCCTAAAACCCTACGTACTGTCCTACATGTTCCCAGCAGTGCAGCTTTTTGCAGTTGCAAGTATATTTTTGGATGGAGCTGTAGCTTTTCCAGACTCTTGTGTAGTTTCCTTGGTATCTCTCCAGTAGCTCCTATTATAACTGGTATTATAGACACATTGCCCATTTCCCACATGCGTTTGATTTCGTCGGAGAGTGGCAAATACTTATTGATTTTTTCCGCGTGGGTGGTTTGGATATTAGTAGGAAGAGGCACAGCTATGTCTATTATAAACGTCGTTCTTTCTTCTTTTAGTGTGAGCACTATGTCAGGAATATTGTTGGGGATGGGCCTGTCAGTTATGATTTTACGGTTCCAGTACAGCCTAGAGGTCTCCGTTTCTATCACAGGTGGCGGCGTGTATTTATAGTAGGGCTGTGTACCAGTTTCTCCTAGATGCTTTTTAGCCAAAGCTTGATAAAGTATTTTGGCCACATCATTGTGCCTTTCAAGATATTGTTTAGGAGCTAAGGGAGAGCACCCTGCTACAATATGATCTATGTGCTCATCTTTTTCCCCACATATGCGGCATCTGATATCGTCAACGTTCTCATGCATTATACGCTTTCGGTACAACTTTGTTGGGACTACCTGATCCTGGATGGAGGCTATGAAGCCCTCCGTCTCCAGGAACAGATTACCTGACTTATAATAATAATAATAATTTTTATTATTAGTATTATTATTAATATTATTATTATTATTATAATTATTACTACTATTATTATTATTACTATTATTATTATAATTATTATTATTATTATTATTATTATTATTATTATAATTATTATTAATATTATTATTATTATTATTATTATTATATTATTATTATAGTTATTATTATAATTATTATATTATTATTATTATTATTATTATTATTATTTTATCTTTTTTTTTCACGCTACAGGACCGTTTTCTATTAGTAGCGGTATCTTATATGGAACGGTTTGACCTCTACACGGGGTCCTCGCCGAGGACCTGAGGGTACAGATCTTTGTTTATGAGCTGGTTATGTTATAACTTTCCTAATTATGTGCGATTTGCCTAATAAGGCAATCTTCTGTAACTGATAGAAATTATGATCTCCTGGTATCCTTTTTAGGTTATCTAGGATGTTGCGAGTGACATATCCAGTTGAACCAATCACTACGGGAATAACGACTGCCTTTGTATGCCACATTCTTTGCACTTCTATGAGTAATG